ATTACTATGGCAACTTCAATGGTCAAACACTGGCCTAATGATACTGTAGATAACTGGTTAACAAAATTTAAGATTCCTTTTAATCTTTATTTACATAACAAAGTTACATTCTTGAATGTCTTAAGAATGTAGACTTTTTTAGATGTGGGGAGAGGGGGGTGGTTGGATTTTTTTCTAATTTGTATTGCTTTTACTTGGTGCATTGAGGATGTGGTGTGTCCAGTCTATATGTGCAACAGTGTTGAGTGAGCAGTCTAGAATTTTGGGTTCAACTGAAGGTTAGACATATTGCGTTTTTTGGAAATAGAAAATGACAGACATTCTAAGTGAAACAAGATTACAGACTATGTTAATATGAAGTACAGACACAACATTTACATAAATTGCCAGCTAAGCTATGTAATATAATAAAAAAATTTAAAAATCAATTAAGGACTACTATATATTTTTTATGATATAATAATTAATCTTACTACAATTCTTTTAATTATATTTATACTTATTTTAAGTATCATTCAGTATCATTATCATGTATTAATATTACAATTATTTTCATTTGTTGATATCTTATTATTTATAAAATGCTTTAAAGGTATTATTATCCTTGTTAAATTATGGAATAATATGTGAACGATTCTGGCAAAACCATCCGTATGTCGCAATTTTTAATTTCCCACAAGCACCCAAAACTTTCGAGATATCAAATTTTGAAAATTTTCATGTTTTTTGTTTTCAGATTTTATAAAATTTTGAAGAACATTTCTAGAAAATATCATTCACTAAATCTAAATGAAATGTGTATTAAAATTAATTTAAAAATACAAATCTTAATAATGAACTATTGATTTTGGAATCTTTGGAAGCTGTTTTCTCAAAACCTACATGACTGATATTCAATGAAATAAATATTCATACTCAACCAATTTCCATCAAACACTGTTTTAAAGAAGACTTCATGCAGAATTTAAAAACACCAAAATCTTAATTTAGAATTTTTCTTACAAATGGAGAATTTTGCCAGAGCCGGTCACATATAGTTTTATGTAACCTATTTCAGGTATCACAATCATATCAATTTACTTATTCTTTTTACCTTATCATTACATTAACATTATCATTACACTCCTGTAAATAGCTTTGTAACAACTCTTTACATATCACTCATCCATTAACTTAAAAAAAAATAACAGCAATAGACCTACTAAAAACTAACAATAATAATACAAAAACTAAATACTAATACTAAAAAGTAGGCCTTCCCTCACAGGACAAATCTATTATATTACTAACATCAGAAAAAAGATGCATATATGTTAAATTATACCATGGTTAGTCAAAAATCCCATAGATTTAATGTTTATATTTATATAATTAACCTACTTCATATAACCGAATATAGAAAACTAGCGCAAAGTAAACAAAATATATTGTAATTGTGGTACTTTCCCATAGTCGTCCCAATATCCATCATAAGGTTACAGAAAGGCCTCGACCTCTTATGCCGAATGAAATGAAGCTGTGTCGCATTTCATTTAGTTAGAATCACTCCTATAGGGTTTTTCATTTGGAAATCGTAAATGGATTACGATAATTAGGATAATGTATGATGATGCATTTTCTGTAATTTATTATCTTACCCCCATTGATTAATTGCCTGATTGTATTGATCATAATTAAATATTAATTTTGTAAAAATTGGTGAGTGTGTTTGTATAAAGTCTATATAAAAACAAATTGCAGAAAGGGATCATTTATGTTTAATTATCATTATTATTATCATTATAATTATTATAACCATGCTACAAGGCACACAGTTTTACTTCATCTGTTTTCACCACATAATTCTACATATAATGGAGAAAATACAAACCAATTTAATGGTTAGGCTGTTAATCCAGCAATTCATTAAATTCAAATATCATTAATTCAAAACATGATGTTAAGAAACAATGAAAATTGGTCTGTTTTTTGTTATGATTGGAAATTGCTGTAGCACTTAACTCCTTGATTGTGCTAATACCTTGGCAACTAACATCCATGTGCCCAAAAGACACCTACTGTAACTCCCAAGTGCAGTTAATAGGGGGATGTAAAGGAAACACTAGCTTCTGTCTAGCCTACTGTACTACTAATAAATTCATTAGTTTGTTTTTCTCTATATAATTTCCTGTAAATATGTATATTTGGCCCAAAAAGCACACAGCAAAAATATTGTTTGGCCACTGTGTGATATTACCCAAGAATCAAATGAGTTGTGCTGTAATAAGTGAAACTTAGTAAGGCCTTTGATAAATAACTTTGCAAAGAAAACAAGCTGAGTTGTCAATTAATATACACAAAGCATTCTTTACAGTGGCAGACAAATTGTTAAAATAATTCAAGAAATTTATTCCAACATACTCTGCTTCAAAATTGTTCCAAAGATTGAAGGATAAGCAACACTAATGAGTCTAAAGAATCTGGTGAAGTTTTCTAATTTCCCCATTAAATGAATGTATTTGATTTCCATAGTATAATGAGTATATAAGGTTGTAATTATCAAGAAAATAATTGCAGAAAGGGTAAAGTTCATCTTCTCAGGTAGTAGCATTAGGTTCTATAAACATGTTCATTTGAGTATGAAAATATGTGCTTGTTAAAAATAAGCCATCTTGTGCTTGGCACAAGACTTTAATAAACGACACGAGACCAAAGATAATATATTGTCTTCCATAGCGTGCAGGGTCAATTGCAAGTGACATAGTTATCATCATAGAGTAGCCGCAACATGGAGTCATTGATTAGCTCTTCTGCAAAGGCATCCTCCCTTGTTTTCTCTGCGCTTCAAAGGAGTATCATTTCAAATGTACTCCTCAGCGATAGCGAGGGGTGTAGTCCATTAATTTGTTAATAGTCCATTAGCACCCTCCATATAGCCCCTCTTGTAGGCTCTGTTAGAGACAACCAACCACCCTCAGTTAGACCAGTTACGATGCTGTCTGCATCGTCCAACTATGTTATTCTTTTATAGGCCAACCCCAGATTCCTAAGTTGGTAAACAAAGAAGAAAATTAACAAATTCCTTTGTATCAAACCCCACACTGCTTGAAAAGCATCGGCGAGATTAAATTTAGCTAATATTATCTAAGTTAATGCAGATCACCCTCATAGAATCTTACAACAAACGAACAACCTCTGAAATTATTCGGCAATGAACAAAAACAAGAACAACTCGTTAATGTTAGGACATATTCCAGTACACAGCTATCGATGGATCGAAAGATATCATTTACATGAGTGATAATATCTGACTCTTCAAAATAAACACCCTTGAAAATTTCAGCAGAATGGTCAATAGTTTCACATAGTGAGACTGATTACTGCTGACATGCTCAAGTCCATCTCCCGCAGATAGCAGAAGCCTTAAAGCTGAAATAGAGTTCCACATCATAATCGTCTTAGCAGGGTATCCGTGAGTAATTGACTTCTGTACAGAAGAAGGACAAGCGATGTCGCATCTCCTCAGATGTTGTTTTTTACACGGATCCGCTAGGCTAAGGTGTTGACATTATGCACCAATTACTGTACATGATATCGCTTCCCAAAATCTTTGCATGACCTTCTGGTAGTTCTCATAAGATAACGATAATATGATATTAATCGTGAATTACTACGTAATAAAATCATAATAATGATAATGATTGTAACAATAACAATGATAATGATAGACATAATAATACAACATACTGGTAGCAACAGCAGGAATAGTGTTAATGATAGAAGCTGTCAAAATAATATGAATTCGTAGTATGATATTGCAAAATTTCATACATTATTATTTTGTTCATTCTCAGTGGTTGGGTGGTAATTAACCAAACAAAGAAATTACATTATAAATACTTACTTCCCCGTTAGACAGACCTAGATCCCCAGACATGACGCCACAACGAGAGCGTCGGACCAAAAAAAATAATCTGCCTATATAAATAACGTTATTTTGATTGCCAATCACTAATATTGCGGTCTAAAAACCTCAATTTGGGCCATACTAATCCATATAAACTCTCCCAGTGAATCCTACCAGGACTTTTATTCTGGGACCCTGACTCTTCGTTGGCATCAAGCCCCTCCTAACCTGTCCTACTGTAATAAATTAAGTAAACACCACCCGAGTGTCATAC